GTAGGTATGTGGGGGCGTGTTCGAACGAGCCGTTTTAGGTAGGTGTGGCTGACTCTTAACTTTTATAAAGAATATCTCTTTGGATTTGAGACTTTAGTCTTTGCAACTTTACAGATCTTCTTTATGCACCAAGAGCTTGTAACACTCCAAAGAGAAAGGAAAAATTGAAATCGCATCATATGACCCCTTTAAAGCTGCGCTCACCTTTATAAAGGCATCGCTGCTAAAGCCACTCAGAGACACGGGGATCACAGCTGGATGAAGTCAAAGGCCCACTCTGACCAAAGACCACCTCTCCTTGTCTCATTTCTCCTTTCTTTACATCATTTTTAAAGAAGTTATATTTATGGGAATTTAGTGCCTTTATTTGATAGAACAATAGAGAAGAGACAGGAAAGCATTGGGAGGAGAGAGGGGAGCAGGATCGGCAAATGACCTCGAGATGGGAATTGAACTCGGGTCACCGTGAAGGCAGTTGTGCCATAAGTCGGCACACTAACCACTAGGCTATTGGCACCGACATCTCCTTTCATTTTTATTCTCTACTTCCCTTAGTTACTCCCCCTCTCTCCTCATTTCTCATTCCCTCTCCCCATTTCTCTTATTTCTCCTTCAATCTTCACATTTCGCTTCTCTCTTCATTTTATTTCTCCTCCTCTCCTCATTTCTCTCTTTTCCACCTCATTTCCTCTCCCAGTTTTTCTTCTCTCCTCTCTGCTATCCACCTCTTCTGCCTTTATTTTACCCTCCTCTCCTCATTCCCTCTTCCCATATTTCCTCTCTCCTCCCCTTATTTCTCCTTTACACTCCTTATTTCTCTTCTCCTTATCTCTTCCCCCTCATCTTTCTTTTCTTCGTTTCATTTTCTATCCTCTCTTCATCTCTTCTCCTCCCTTATTTCTCTTCATCCTTCCACCATTTCTCCTCCCATCTTCTTATTTCTCATTCAGTCTCCATATTTTACTTCTCACTTACCGTTATTTCTCCTTCATGCTCCTTATATCTCCTCTCCTTCCCTTATTTCTCTCTTATATTTTTCCTTCTCCTCTCCTAATTTTTATAATCTAATTTCTCTTCTTTTTTCTCATCATTTATCATACCTTCTTCTACTCTTCCCCTTCATTTCTTTTTATAATCTAATTTTTCTTGTCTTCATCTCATTTCTCTTCTCCCCCTCCCATTTTTCCTTCCTTCTCCTCATTTCTCCTTCCCTCTCCCTATTTCTCTTCTTCTCTAACATCATTTTTACTTTTCATCTCATATTCTCTTCTCTCTTCCCCTTAGCTTTCCTTCCCCCTTCTCATGTCACTTCTTCTCATTTTCTTCTCTTAAACTCTCATTCTCATTCTTTACTCTATCAAAAACATTACTTGATGACTCAAATCACAACTATAGGCCAAAAAAATCACCCCAAATCCCTGTAACATTCCACTAAGCTCATTCTTTCTCAGAAAAAAAGTCTCAGAAATAAAGACATAGAAACATCACTCAGGTGAGCAATAACCTCAAATTCAGTATATCATAAGTCTGAAGATATCGTACATTTTTCACAAGCCTGCAGGCGTGAGTGAACATGACCGAGAAACATTCCACCCTGCGCATCCAATGGTAGATGTCGGACTAATCAAATAGAGTCGATGGATTGGCTACAGTGGAAATCGCTGCTCTTTTATTGGACCATATTAGCCTTGACCTTCAGGGCTCAAATGAAACGTCCTTGAAGATATAATGCTATAATGTAACATACAGCACAAGGGCTCCTGTACTGCTACAGAAAACTCACGCTTCAGAGCGTAACTTTGAACTGCACGACTAACGGCACAGTATAACTGAAGGACATTCATAATAACATTACACACGCATGCAAAGACACAACAAACAGATACACACACACAAAACAAATGGGCTCTTACCTCTATGTCTATTTGTAGTTTTATCAAACATAAGCATAGCATCCTCTACCTGTAAGAGAACAGAGAGAAAAATTAGTAAAGAAAGGTGAAAACTGCCAGTGATTTGGTTGAAATTTACACTAGAATAATAAAAAATGTAACAATACCAGACCGACTGTATTTACTTTATTACGTATTAATATTAATTTAATATTGCTTGCTTGAATAATTACTTACAAGATCTACATATTATGTTAATTAGCTGAATTTTTACATATTTATTCAAATATTAATAACTGAAAGAGCAGTTTCAACCAGCCTAAGCTGGTTTGCTTGGTTTCATAGCTTGGTTGACTGGTTTGAGCCTGGCTGTCAAAACGGCTATCAAGAATTCTGAAATTTCTGGTATTTGAGGTATTCAACAACAGCCTTTTTTTGATATTGTAACATCTTGTGCACTTCTACTAAAATAGATAACTACTGGAGCCTAAAAGCATTTACACATGCATACAGATCTGAAAGCTGCTCATGGCCATGTTCTGTGAGGAATGATATCCCTCCACAGGCCCAAGGGTACCATCCTGTCTGACCCTGACAGAGGCCTGTTCATCCTTGAGGAAAACCCTGTCTGCAAGGACACACTTCAGAGTGCATCCAGCCATAGTCTTCACACTTACAAACACACTGCCACGGGTTTTATATATCCCACAGTACGTCTGAACATGCTCCTTTCTGTTTCTTTCACATTACATGCACGCACACTAATAAATGCACAAAAAGTGCATGCCATGCCTGGCGTACACATGCTGACGCACACTCCAATGCTCCTTCCTGAGGTCCCTGAGATTAGCCCTAAAGTACAGACGGTTGGAAAAACACCTTCCCGGCACAAAAGGAGCCATCAGTCACTCAGCCCCATAGAGAACAATAGAGCTGCAAGCTTTAAAGATCCTCATCACCCTCAATCACTTCCAATAAAGATCACACTGACTGGAGCTCTCATAGAGGCTGAGGGAAATCTGTTATCCTCCGCTATCACTCAATGCATATTTATGTTCCTACTGTATGTTCAGGGAAACCTGTTTTATAAATGACCACTGGTTTTTTTTTGAAAGTATGTTTCTTCTGTATGATTCCGTTTCTTCCACAATAAATAAATACACCATGAATTAATGAATGTGTATACATATATATATATAGGAACAAGACAAGAATCATCCCTCAAATGTTGTGTAAACATGCTGTTTATTCTTACAAAAAGTCTTTGGGCACTAAATTGGTGGTTTCTTGGTAATACTCAGTTTCTATCTTGCAGTATGTAGTTAAAACATCATAGCATCTAATAAAAATGTTGATGCCAATGTAAATGGATTTTTCTGAGAAACTACTTGCATTAGCAGGGAGATTCTATAAACTGTGTAATATTATAATGCAGCAATATAAACCATCATGCCTGCCTTTCACAATCGCAGTGATGTATGTCGGCTCTATAATTATGTTGTCCATGCTGGTGGATGCTAGTTTACAGGCCTGTAGCCGGAGCTATAGTTCTGTCCAGAAAGAGGAGAGTCTCTTGACTACAGCTGCACTAAAGCATGATGGGAGGAGACAGCCCTCGACTCAGGCTCATATGTAACTGTCTCTCCTCATAACCAGCATGAAGTCTCTCTCTTTCTCACCCTCACTCCATATTTCTCATACAGTGAGAACCTACAGTATGTCACCTGTCTTTGACATATAAAGTCTGAGGCCATTAGTGAAAACGCTTCTAATTTGCATTTTTCTAATTTCTATATATTATACAGAGAAACTAAACATTCTAATTAAAATTTATTATAATTGAAAGGCAAAATATACAATACATAAAACACTGAAAAAATTAAACATTGATATAATAATTTATTATTTCTATATTTGCTTAAATTTTTTGAATACTATAATAAATAACATTGTATACTATAGTAAATAAACTGAAAAGTGAAAAGTTGAACAAAATTTTTTAAAAAGCAAAAATAATACAATTTTTTAATAAATTAATTAATATAAATATACTGAAATTGTAGGTGTGAAATATTGTAATTAAAGTGCACATTTAGCCTATATCATTATATTTATTGAAAATTTGATTTAAAAACAATGAAATCTCTTATGTATCTGCTTCAATTTTCCCCCTCAATATTTATATTCTCAAACGCTCTCTAGTTATTCTCGATGACCTAATGCACAACTTCACACTTCAGTCCTGCTTTGCTGCCTCCAAACCACCCTGACCCATTCAGCCTTTCAATAGGGGGACAAGTATTCAAGGATAGATTCAGCCTGCCAGCGGCCATCAGATTGTGGGATAAGAAGCTCTTGAGGGCACACACACATATACAGACACGGCACAAAGGTGAGCGTGGTCCCACACCCGGTCTGTGCCTAATCTTAGGTCCGCTCTCTCCTCCTTCTGTGAAAGAAAAGCCTGAAGGATAATAGCTGTCTCTTTAGTATGGTAAGGGGGCCGGGCGGCCCTCACAGATAACAGTCCCGCTTTTATATTCACAGAGAGAGATGAGGTAAAAAGGGGCGACTAGATTCATGGAAAAGAACAGAAAGCTCTTCTTAGAGTTCTTCCTATCTAGTAACGCAGCAGGGGGGAGGAAGAGGCATTTTAAGTTCTCTTAGAAGGGTGGCAGAAGGTTTCGGAGAGACTGTGAGGGTAATGGCGCTTGCATATGCGACGGTGCCGCATTCGAAATGGCCTGACCTTTACTTGTTAGCTCTTGCGACTCTGAGGGGCCGCGGGATGGCGGGACCCCGGGCTCGTTGTGTGCCGATCGATGCGAAACAAGTGGCCTTACAGCGCTCTGATGTGGTGGGGAATTAATTAGCCGACCGCGGCGTCTGGAAGGACGCGGCAGCACATGGTGCAGGATGGCAAATTGTGCAAATTCTCCCCAGGCCCAGAAGGATGGTGCCATTAAAAGCCCCCGTGGCACACCCTAGGTGGTCGCGCCACTTTGCCATTAAACACCATTACTGATAATTGACTGAACAAGTGGCCTTTTTACTGGTCGTCCTTAGCTTGGTCAGTGGCTAATACGTGCTGTGCACCCGGCACAATGAGTAAATGCCACGGTAATGCCTGTTTTATGACAGGCATGGAAGGGGCAGGTCCTGTCTGAGTGTCGATAAAACAGCGTTTAAATGTAGTTTGTGAAAACCAACTGTAGCTCGCCTTGAGATTTATGCTTCTTATTAGCAGGGGTCGTACATTCGGCCCTATGAGACACAGGCCTTTATGGGCTTTTATAGCTGGACTGTTATGAAGAAAAACACACGGGCGTTGTGACCTCATATTGCCAGAGAACACAACATGCAGTGGAGTTAACCAGGGGCCAAATACTAACCGGCCTCAAAACAACAGGAAAAAACATGATGTTTACAACTGAAGTGAGTCATTTCCATGCTACTAGCGTCACCATAAAAAAATGCAAAAATAACAATTGTTTTCTATTTGCCATTGGTCCAGTTGTTTTGGATGCTTAAAATTCACATTGAGGGAATCAATGTACAAATGGTTCATTTATAGCGTTCTGAAATAATTATATGAATAAATAAATGAAAAATTAAAATGTAATTAAAAATCCAATTAAAAAGCCCAAAATAAAAACAAAACAAAAGCAAATAAATAAATAAAAGGTAAAAAAAAAATTTCAAACATTAATGTTTAGAGACGAATGTTTTTGGAGAAATGCTCCTATTCACAGTTTCTTGGATGTATTTAAAAATAATAAATAAATAAATAAATAATAAATAAAATAAAAAGCCAAAACAGAGAAAAGATAAAAACAACAACATAAAAATGCTTTCCAAAAAACGTAAAAGCCAAAAAAGTGCATCTATCAAACAGTCCTGAAGCTAAATGGCTAGCTCACTCCTGTAAACCTGGTGCAGTCTCGATCGGTGTGTTCCTGTATGGCAGCTGTGCAAAGCTGCTTGACAACATGTTTTCATTTAAGTAAGAAATATAATTGGAAAGTCTGTGGGGCCATTTTTTATTAACTGTGGAAGGTATCAGTGGGAGGACGGGGGGGAATACAAGCCGGCGGAAGCACAGTCAGACAGGGGAAGATTGTGTTTACATGTAGGCGAGGGATGGAGAGAAGGCAATCCAACACTTGGTTAAATTCACTCAGCCGCCAGGGAGTGGAATCTACCACCTGCCATATCACCGTTTGCTAAATCTCAGACAGTAAGGAAAGAAAAACAGACTCCACCTCTCTCCTCGTGTCAAACTAACGTGTGCGTGCCTGTCACACCATGGCAGAAATCTCCAAAACACATGCTGCAAAAAATTTTAATCAGACGCATTGAATTATTTATCAGGGGACAAAAGCATCAGTGGGTTTTCTGCCTCTTTACAGCATTTACAGAAAGCAGAGAGGATGGGCAATAGAAACCGACAATAGCTTCACACAGAGTTTCCATTGGGGTCTCTAGCTGCATTCTTGCAACAATTTTTTAATGGAAATTACATTCAACAAATTAATGTCATATTTCAAAAATATTTTGTATTTTATAATATATAGCTATTTAAAAAAAATTTCAAATCTGTTGAAAAATATTAAGTTATATATGTATGCAATTTTATAGCTATAAATACAATATAAATTAAATACAAATTGAACACACCTACATGTAACAAACACAAACAACCTGCTATACTGACAAAATATGGGGCCAAAAGCGGAAAACCAGACAAAACAGTCCAAGTAAACATGTCTCTGCAGATGCAGGACACACAGGTGGATCAATAGCATGGTTAGTTACATGAGAGAGAAGTCTGAACGCATCCCAGCACCTCATCATACACGTGCATGCGTGTTTACGCGAATGTGATCGAGCAAACAACCCCGGCGATCAAAAATAAAACTGGCGGACGAGGAAATGGATATTCAAAGGCAGGTCTCATTTAGCACCACGGCTGGGTGGAGGGGAGACGTTTATTTGCATAACGGAATTGGAAGTGACTGTCAGCGTCGGCTGCAGAATCTACTCCCTCATCTATCGCAGACACCCTCCAGC